AAAAAAAAAAAAAAAAAAAAAAAAAAGCATCTCCAAAGTTAGACAAAAGACATTACCAAACAGCTCAGAAAATAAATAAAAATGGCCACAGAGCAAAATTTTCCACTCTACAGTAATCGAAGAAATGCTAACTTTAAGGGATTTTTTTTCCCCACAAACTTTTCTTTTTTAAAAGGGTATGCTCTATTGACTAGGATTTGGCAAAATGAGCACTCTTACGAAGTAGTAGAAGTATTAAATTGGCCGAAGATTTCTGAAAGACAATTTAGCAATCTGTTAAGTCTTCAAAATATTCATACCATTTTCAAGAGTTTGATTTGATAAAACCAGCTCGCATTCAAATACAATAGGCATAAGCAATATTTTTTACAGTAAAAATCTGAGGAAAAAACCTAGAAGCCCAAATTTGAATCATGGTCTTTTAAAGAAAATCATGGAGCCACTTTAAATTACCTCATGGAAGAACATTACAGAATTACAAGAAAATACATCTAGTGATAAGTTTATCCCTATTATTTGTATGCTGCAAGTATACATATATTGATCTCTGAACGTGGAATTTTGAAAAAGAAAAAAAAACTACACATATAGAAAAGACTAAGAACATAGAATAGAAATATTAACGATGGTTATCTCTGAGTGGTAGCATTAAAATTATTTTCTTCAATTTTCCTGAAGCTTCCCAATTTTCTATTCTCAATATGCACTGTTTATATAATAAAATCAATGTTGAAGACACTACTATCACTAAAGCAATCTTAAAGTTGCTATAAAATTAAATTCAATCTTACCACTGGCATTTGAGAAAAACAAGAAGAAGCACATGGTATAATAAAAACGCTACTTCATTGCCAAGAGGGAGGTGGCAGCCTACAAATACCTGTGCTAGAACTGGAAAAGGCTAGGTAGTATCCCTGAGAGCGAGCCAACAGAAAAGCAGTGGAAGGGAGTGATTTCCTACAGAAGAAAAAGAGAACAGAAAAGAGAGGAACAGCTACAATCCAAAAAATCAGAGAGGAAAGGGGAAAAGAAAAATAACAGAAGAGGAGTAAGATGTCTAGTTCAACTACAGATAGTGATAAAGGATGTGTGAAAAGCAGAGCAGAGGGAAAATTAAGAGAGATTAAACACATCCTCAGACTCCACTTTCATTTATTATAAGAATGAATTTAAACTATTTTTAAAAAGAAGCTATCTTGATTTGGAACAAGGCACAAGTGGTCACTGGAAGGAAGTTACACAAAGAAGACAGCTCAATGTAGGTTTAGAAGAAAACAGAGTGGGTCAAAAATGAATTAATGCACAAATCCTAGGAGGGAAAACTGATACTGAAATTCGAAACTAAATTTTACGCCCTCTTTGAACTACCTCATCATATGGATCCAGTGGGCTGCAGTGAAATAGCCTGACTTTAGAGTCAAGAGGTCTGGAACCATGTCCTGACTACATACCAGCTATATAAAGTTGAGCAAGCTTCCATCTTTACAAGAGAGTAAATATTTACTGCAGAGTTTCTGAGTTTCAACTGAAAAAAATGTGTAATAATTTTTTAAACTTAAAATGTTCCATTAATACCTTCATAGGGACAAGTCCACCATTTTCAGGAAACGAAGGCCACAATGACATTTTACTTAGGAAAGCTGAACAAGTCACATGAAGAGAATAAATATACAGTTGTAATTGTTCTCTCCCAAATAATCCCAATCCTCTCACTCCCAAAAATCCCTGGAAAGGTTCCGAGAGATTAGATAGTTGATAGAATAGTATACTCTACATGGCTTTCAAAAGTCAATCTGGGTCAGTGTGGTGGCTCACACCTATAATCCCAACACTTTGGGAGGCTGAAGTGGGTGGATCACCTGAGGTCAGGAACTCAAGACCAGCCTCACCAAAAACGGTGACCTGATTGTGCCACTGCACTCCATCCTGGCGACAGAGCAAGATTCCATGATTAGCTTAAACTACATGAACTATAAGATCTGTCATTCTACAAATCTAATTGAGTTCCATCTCCATTACAACTTTGAGTTACTTAAACCAACTTATCTTAATCACTAGTATTAACCAATTCCATTTATGTTCCACTATTGATTGATCGATTGAGACAAGGTCTTGTTCCGTCACCCAGGCTGGAATGCAGTGGCCTGCCTAGCCACAGTTCATTGAAACCTTGAACTCCTAGGCTCCAGCAGTCCTCCCAGATGAGCCTATGCAGCTAGAAATACCAGTGTGTTCCACCATGCCAACCTAATTTATTTTTTGTAGAAAAATACATGTCTTCCAATGACATATGATGTGTATTGCAATGTTGCCCAGGATGGTCTCAAACTCCTGGTCACAAATGATCCTCCTACCTCAGCCTTCTTAGGTACTGAGATTACGGGTGCCAGTCACAGTGCTTAGCCTTACTCATTTTTTAAAATACATACTAGGTTGGTGCAAAAGTAATTATGATTTTTGCCATTAAAAAAATTGCAAAACCCATAATTACTTTTGCGTCAACCTTAATACATACCTGGACATACTGGCAGGAACCTATAGTCTCAACTGCTCACAATGCAGTGACCTATGATTGTATCACTGCACTTCCGCCAGGACAACAGAGTGAGACTCTGTCTCTAAAAATAAAATGAAAACATAATGTAATTTAAAAACTTTTTTAGGCCAGGCGCCGTGGCTCACGCCTGTAATCCCAGCACTTTGGGAGGCCAAGGCAAGTGGATCACAAGGTCAAGTGTTCAAGACCAATCTGGCCAAAATGGTAAAACCCCATCTCTACTAAAAATACAAAAATTAGCCAGGCATGGTGGCAGGTGCCTGTAATCCCAGCTACTCGGGAGGCTGAGGCAGGAGAATCGCTCAGCCCACAGCAACCTCTGCCTCCTGGGTTCAAGCTATTCTCCTGCCTCAGCCTCCCGAGTAGATGAGACTACAGGCATATGCCACTACACCAGCTACTTTTTTGTATTTTAGTAGAGACGGGGTTTCACCGTGTTGCGTAGGCTGTTCTCAAACTCCTAAGCTAAGGCAACCCGCCCGTTTTGGCCTCCCAAAGTGCTGGGATTACAGGTGTGAGCCACCACGCCCAGCCCACACAGTTTTTAAAAGACAGAAGAAACGTCAATAGTAACCAGTGTCAACAGTACACACTATAAGTGTGGAATCATTATGTTTTTCTTTTTAGTTTTCTGTATATTCAAAATAATCTAAAATGAATAACACTTTAATTGCAGGAGGAATAATGTTTTAAAATCAGCCGCATAAAGTTGAGTGTGGCGCCTCTGAAAAATTACCTGAATGTAAAAAACAAAAATTTTCAGAACAGAGCTCTACACTAAGCACAAGTGCTAAGAGCTTAGCATGCTAAAATACTGACGTTTACCAATAATCCTATGAAATAGATATCCCCACTATGTGGACTGAAAAGCTGAGGTTTCCCGAAGCTCTTAACAAAAGACACACAGCTATTTAATGGCAGAGGCAGAAATAACACACAAAGGCTGGGCATGGTGGCTCGAACTTATAATTCCAAAATCCCAGCACTTTGAGAGGCAGGCAGATTACTTAAGGTCATTAGTTGGAGATCAGCCTAACCAACATGGTGAAACACGATCTCTACTAAGAATACAGAAATTAGCAGGGTGTGATGGTGCGAGCCTGTAATCACAGCTATTTGGGAGGCTGAGAGGCAGGAGAATCACTTGAACCTGGGAGGTGGAGGCTGCAGTGAGCTGAGATCATGCCATTGCACTCCACCCTGAGAGACAGAGACTCTGTCTTCCCCCCAACAACAACAAAAAAAAAGAAATCACATACAAACCTGCCCTAGTCCAAAGTCCCTATGCTTAACCACTTAAATAGTCTGACATGAGCATGATGTGTTTTGATTTATTCTTTACATTTGACATTAAAAATTTTCTAAATAATTTACTAGATAATATGCATACATGGTTATGCCTCAAACTGTTGTATGAGATAATCATATTAGAATCTAGCAGCCGGGCGAGGTGACTCACATGCCTATAATCCCAGCACTTTGGGAGGCAGGTGAATTGTTTGAGGTCAGGAGTTTGAGACCAGCCTGGCCAACACAGTCAAACCACGTCTCTACAAAAAATATAAAAACATTAGCCAGGCGTGATGGTGCATGTCTCTAGTCCCAGCTACTTGGGAGGCTGAGGTGGGAGATTTTTAAGCCTCAGAAGCAGAGGTTACAGTGAGCTGAAACAGTGTCACTGCACTCCAGCCTGGATGACAGAGTGATAAGATCCTGTGTCAAAAACAAAAACAAAAATATTTAGCCATTATCTATCACAAGGTAAACGTACTCAATGTTAGTCCCAAAATTCTTGCCTTGCAAGAAGAGTTTTGAGTATTTTTTACATGGAATGACAGTCCTTGGATTAATCAGACTTGGAGTATTACATTCAAGAAAATGCATTTAATCTAATTCCTCACACTACTTCATATGTAACTACTCCAACTAAAAAGAAACACCAGGCCACTAAAAATATAAGACAACTTGCTCACTAACAAAGTCAAAGTGGCTCACTACTCTGTTAACATCTATGTTGCCAAAAAGCACAATGAGGACAAAAACTCAAAAGCTGAGTATCAAAACTCAAGTTCTTAAAATAAATGAGATTTCTTTTCAATAAAGTATCATTAAGTCAACACATAAGGAAAAGGACCACAAATGGTGAAAGATGTAACTTATGTTTAAGGAAGTGAAGAGAAAGGGCAAAGAAAACATGACACACCATATGCTAAATTAGGTGTCTGATCATGTCAATGACTATGAAACTATTTCTTTGAGTCTAGCATATCTGGGGGAAAATTTAGGAACTGTTTTGGATTCCAGTTTTCTTTTAAGAACTTGGTTCACAAATCAGGAATACCCATATGCAATGAACCATTCAAGTTTTGGACCTCAAAATGAGGCTTACAAATATTTTTTCTTTTATTCTCAATTCCTTTTCAAATTACCATGAAATACGTACCTTCCTCCTATTGAGTCGTCTTGTGGTTGGGCCCCGGCAGTGTTCCTCTGTGAACGTCGCAGTGACCCCCCTGGATTGTTATTAGGCCGGTTGGACATTGGCACCTCTCTCTTGAAGGGACATACCCTTTCTAGACACTACCATTCACTAAAAGAAAAAAAAATAAACAAAATTTATCAGATGTACAAAATACAATATGGAAAAGAAATTAGGGGAACTGACAGCAATGAGGAAATTTTCTGCAAACTATCTGATTTTATAGCCTTCACCGATACTGCAATGTCTCACTCAACTGTGAAGTCTGACTAATTAATGTGTTACAAAATGTCAGGGATATAACAAATTCAAGGCATGTGGTCCAGAACTCAGCACATAAAATTAATTTAAGATTTTTCATGGAATAGCCAGAAAATTCTCAATTCAAAGAATACAGAGCACAGGTAGAAAGAAACATGTCTTTGTTTCCACATTCTAGTATTGTGCAGAAACAGGCACTATACCTAAAGTCAAAACATGATGGCTGAAGTCCTGTGATAGAACAGGTGTTAAAGATAGTTTGCCTTTGCACAAATGACAGCCTCTAAGCCTAGAATTCCTTAGACTCAGAATTAACAACATATGTCATGTATTTTTCACAGTACTGTTGTGAATAACAAATGAAAAAATAAATACAAACAAAATTGTGGCTGGGCACGGTGGCTCACGTCTGTAATCCCAGCACTTTGGGAGGCTGAGATGGGTGGGTCACCTGAGGTCAGGAGTTTGACACCAGCCTGGCCAACGTGGTGAAATCCTGTCTCTACTAAAAATACAAAAATTAGCTGGGTGTGGTGGCTCACACTTGTAAACCCAGTAACTCGGGAGGCTGAGTCAGGAAAACTGCTTGAACCCAGGAGGCGGAGGCTGCAGTGAGCCCAGATCATGCCACTCCACTCCAGCCTGGGCAACAGTGAGACATCTGTCTCAAAACAAAGCAGAACAAAACAAAATTGTAAAACTGCAGTATCTTAATGAAAAGATGAGGCAAAAGCAACTCAAACAGAGTAAACTAAGCAATGGTCCCAAATACTTAGGATTTTCAACAGCAGCTCTGCTGGCCACGACCCTGGACAAAATAATCTCTACATTTCATTTACTCTTCCTTAAAACCAGTACATTACCTACCTCAACAGAGTTGTGAGCAACAAGAAAGTATTTTTATAAGTGTGACAATTTAGCTCAAAACAGTTCATAATCAAATTGAACTTTCTATAAGAAATTTAATTATTGTACAGATAAAATGCCAACACTCAGAAAATTAGTTTAACTGATAAAACAAGCCAACATTACAATTATAGAGTTACAACATGTACAAATAAAATCTTTCACTATTTTTTGTAAGCCTGCAGTCAAATTCAAAGTAGTGTTCTTTCTGTTACTTCTGTTTACTGGTGAAGAGAATGAACATATGACATTATAGAAACTGTTGCCAAAGAGAATGCAAATCAACCATAATTAAGTCTATTACTGTACTGGATTTTGTTTTACAGATTCCTTGTACTGTAATAAGTAAGGTTTCTTTTGAGTTATATTGTTGATACAATTCAGTAGAGACTGTTTCTATCACACATGTCCAAATTAATTAATATAATAAACTTTAATTAGAAAGTTCAAATTACTAATTTAAAGATAGTCAGTTTTAGAAAGAAAAAATATATTTAAACATTAAAAGAGAGGCAGGCAGAGAGAGAAGGTTAAACTTACATGTACTGATATGAAAAGATATGAAACTCTCATTTGTGTGTATTTATTAAAAAAAGACATAAACTTCTGTATACTATCCACGTTAAAAATTCATGGAAAGATGCATGAAACATACTTTGTTAATAATGACTGCCTTTGAGAAAGGATTGGGGGATCCAGAGTTTAGAATGAAATAAATCATTTTTGTTGTCACTGAGACTGACTGTTTACCAATTTAAAAGCAATTAAGCAGGCTGCTCTAGCATAACAGCTTTAAGCACAGAGCTCTTCAGTCAAACTGCCTCTGCCCAAGTTCAACTCCGGACTCTTAACACTAACAAGCTGTACAGAGGCTTGCATATATGAGAGTGCGTGTATATATACTCCTCTGTGCGTCAATGTATAAAATGAGGATAAAGAACTCACCTCACAAAGTAGTTGTGAAGATCAAATGAAAAAAATCCATGTAAATTACTAAGTACAGTGCCAATCATATAGCAAGTGCTCAGTACATGTTAACTATTATTATTAATATAAACATTCATTCAAAAGAATAAAAATATTTGTGGTAAAATAAAATCTAATATATTGGGAGAATCTTCACCATAAAAATCATTGTCAGTAAGAATCCAAATTTCTGGCAAAATACTTTCAAAAGTGAAATGTTTTTAATTAAGGATAAACATATCAATCACCTGGGAAGCTTTATCAAAATATGATTGCCTGTCCCCTAACCTCAGACTCTCATTTTTGGGCACAAAAGTGGGAGACATCATTTAAAAGAGCTTTCTGGGGTTTGTAGGGGGGAAACAGGGGAGGGACAGCAGGGAGTGGGGAGTTGGGGAGAGACAGCAGTTGGGGAGAAATGCCAGATACAGGTGATGGGGAGGAAGGCAGCAAATGACACTGCCATGTGTGTACCTATGCAACAATCTTGCATGTTCTTCACATGTACCCCAAAACCTAAAACGCAATTTAAAAAAAAAAAGAGCCTTCTTGGGTATACTGCAATACACAAGAACTTCAGCACATTAAAGAATGAAAAGCCGGTCTTTTTCAAAATTCATCTTAGAAATTTCTCTATTTCAAACACCATCTCAATGCCATTTCACCTGGACCCAAATAGCATGAATAGATACAAGAGAATAGGATGATACTGCTGTTCTTACTTTAAAAAGCAAAGAACAGTATTAGAAACAAGGTTGGTAGTTATCACCTGCCCACATTCTGCTACTAAATGCTTACTGTATGTCATGAAGTATTAAGTCATTCAAATGAAACTAAGACAAGCTAGTTGTTTTGACCTAGAGTCATCTAGGTAATCTTAACAATACTACCCAACATCTTCAAAGCTGACTAACTAGCACCATTATCAGCCAATAGTCTATTTGTGGATAATTCTTGATATGTAAGAAGAATAGCAAGTAAGAATAAAGTTATCAAATTATCACCTGCTGTTAAAGCATAAATTCATCTTTTAAAAAGAGGCCAGGCTTAGGCTGGGCACAGTGGCTCACGTCTATTAATCCCAGCACTTGGGAGGCCAAGGCAGGTGGATCACCTGAAGTAAGGAATTCAAGACCAGCCTGGCCAACATGGTGAAACTCCGTCATTACTAAAAATACAAAAATTAGCCAGGCATGGTGGTGGGCGCCTGTAATCCCAGCTACTCTGGGAGCCGAGGCAGGAGAATTGCTTGAGCCCAGGAGGCGGAGGGTGCAGTGAGCCCAGAACGCGCCACTGTACTCCGGCCTGGGTGGCAGAGCAAGACTTCGTCTCGAAACATAACAAAAAAGAGGCCTGGCTCTCTGTTAAATGCTAGAACTATTTCCTGAAATTAAAAAAAAGATTAACACATCATGGATACAGGATCTCTCCCTCTGTCAGGTATCAATAAAACCAGAGAGCTGGAAGGGACCCTCAGAGATGATCAAGTTCAACCCCTTACACCTTACAGACAAATCCAAATGAAGAAAGTTCCAAGATCTATGAGGAACCAGTCCTCTGAATCCTGGTACTGAGCACCACCTTAACTTCAACAAAAGTTTAATGCCTCTTTGGCTGCAGTTAAGAACCCAGAGGCAAAAAGTTTTCTCTACACAATAATTCCAGAATGTTTTCCTTATAGAATATTCTGTACTGACTTGACCAATTACTTACGCCTACCATATGTTATTACTTAATTTTTAAAACACAAGTGGGAATTACACTATTATACTGCTAGAAGTTATGTTTTCGTAACCGGTAATGAGTATGAACCTGAAGATTCTGTCTTAACAGGCTAACTCATATTGCAAAATCGGAATTATAAACCCAATTTAACATCCCTAACAAATCCTGAAATATACGACTCTTTCCTAACCATGGGCATACTTTCATTTCTGTAAAACTAATCAAGATTTTTCACACAAAAGCTTTGATATTCAGTCCTAAGGCACTGAAACAAAATAGAGAATATGAATGACTTTAACAGGAAAAACAAAAAGACTAATGGATATCTTCAAGGTTAAAAACAAACTCATGACAACTTTGATCAAAGTTGAGTGTACAATCAACTTATTCCTTGTTTAAGTTAAATGACCTCTGAATTTTATGTTAAAAAGTACTTAACTCTACATGCAAACTCCAAATAGAAAAAAACAACCACCACTGGCCAGGCACGGAGGTTCACATCTGTGATCCCAATCTCAGCGCTTTGGGAGGCTGAGATGGGTGGGTCACCTGAGGT